CGCAAGTGACCTATTGACATTTACTGAATGCATGTGTAACACGGCTGTGGGAGTGGGAATACAAGTCAGCGTTGAGTAAGCACAAATTGAGAGTACCTGACAGCGCGTATAGTTTCCTGTAGTGTGGGAAAAAGGTAAGAGGAAATTTTTCAGCCCAGTTTGAATGTCGGTTTTGGTTAAACTGACGTAATTGAGTCAGTTCTAGTACCCATGTTTTCCTAAAGTTAGTAGTGGGGGCGTTGATCTTCACATCAGTATCATCAGCCAGGAGTGCCTTATTTTTAAAAGCAGAATCGACATCAGCTATTTGATAAGCATAGCGTATTTTTTTTCTTTCCTTCCCACTCTTATCAAGTGATACTCATATCAAGCTCAGAAAGAACAAATGAGAGTGATCCTGACCAGGGCTTTAACCCTTGACCGTTCAGTTCTGAGTCTGACTCTCTACCGACGCAGTAACCCCAGTATGAATCAACGTGTGGTAAATTCTTTGCTGAAGGTAATTCGTGGCATAGACAATTATTGTCCGCCTCGAAAATCGAACTTGGCATCTCTGAGGTTCGAGTTCGAAGACCTCCTCCTACATGCCATGCCACCACGCCACATACTAGAGTGTTGCGATTGATATACGAGGCAGGCCATAGCAGACCACTGCAGTTATCGTGGAACGGTTTTGGCTAATGATAATGGTGTTGATCCTGAAATGAAATGACGCACTGGATGAATAGCAGCGAATTTCGACGAGTTGTATTATATATAGAAAGACTGAAGTATAAAGTGACAGTCGTGGTCAATATTATTAAGGAAGCCGTATTCGCGGTAAGCACGTTCAGTCACATAAAATCCGTCTTTTTAGAACGTCATGATGCTGGTATTGGCAGCGCCCAACAACGCTGTTTACCCACAGAGTATCCTCAAAGTGCGATAATAACGAACGGGCCGATGCTGACGACTGGTGGTTTGTGGAAATTGTCAGAAATACTCAAAACTTTGCGACTTGGTTTCGTAAAATAGCTCGAAATGACAATGGAAATGTGTTAAAAGTTTTTTGCGTTAGATCCTTTCACTAGCCGTACTGACGCTGGGGAAAAGGGAAAACCTACAAACATCTCGCTGGGGCATACCTCTTTGCGATGAGGAACAGTCCTGTCGCATCTCAGCATAGTTTGGAGTTAATACGTCGATGTCTGCATACTCGAGATCAGTGATACGGTATCCGGGCTGAGCTCCACACCATCTTTTCCCTTCACATAATTTTGATCCCCCCTTTTGATCTAGTCGAATGGCTAAATTATAAATATCTAGCGTTTATACTGTTTCTTGCTCTTAATTTCCTTTTGCTGTGACCCGGAAAGAAAACTGTTTGAATTAGGCATGGTAGTTACTATTGAAATTTAGTGTCCGTCATTTTTGACTTCAGTTTTTTGTATGTCATATGAAAAAACAGACGCTGTTTGCTGCAGACTGTTATTCTGGCATTATAAATATCTTTTGGCTCTTATGATGATGAT